TTTAAATTTCGTATCAACTTGGACTACATTTGGAATTCCGTTTCAACTTAAGTGGATTCTAAATCTACAATAATTTCATTCCGACGTACGACATATATACGTAAAATAAATTTTTACCGATTGCAAAGTAGCGAGGAACATTTAAATATGCAAGCTTACCGATTTCATTTAAATTTGAAATATTACAAAACTCCTGTGGCATAAGCTAGGATAATTAAACACAAGGCATAAGAAACAACATCGCCACAAACATTTTTAAAATTTATGGCTTAGCTCGAATCTTAAAAATCTTGTCGAAATTTTTTTATTAAAATTTATCCTGCTTATCATCAAAAAATATTATTCGAAATTCATTACTCTATTAAAAATTATCAAGAATAATTAGAAATGGCATCTAATTCAAATGATTCTCATGTGGAAATTCCAATTGTAGAGTCTCCAGATACAAATAAGAATATTTTTGAGACCCCAGACGAAAATAAAGAAATTTTGGAAATTGTCTGCTCGCCAAACTTGAAACATGTTGCTGCATTGGATGAAGATAATAATATTAGTCTTTGGCCTGTTAGTCAAGAGCAACTTTTAATGAAAGTAAAACATTTCATATTGACAAGATTCGCACAAATAAGAATGGTGAAAAAATATTTGCAGTTTCAGATTATAAATATGTTTCAATTAGTCATGAGAGAGTCAATCCTTATAATTTCAGTAAGTTATGCATACAATAAAAATTTATTACTATTTTTAATACGTAAATTCAACTTACTTATTGTATTCATGTATATGACTCAAGAAATTTTTGATTTTGAAAATGAACAAGAGGTTTTATTAACCTTTCCAGATTGACAGAAGGAAATTGACTTCTTATCCTTTATTGATTACAGAGCATATGTTTTTTACAAGTAAAGATAATATTAGCTGGGTTTGTAAATCAATGATTGAGTTGAAATATTTTAAAAAAATTTATATTACCCTTAAAAGCAAATTGATCATATTTAATGATACGATTCATGAGATCACAATGTGGGATATTGATGATTTATCGATTAAAGCTCGTATTTTAATAGATTGGAATTATACACCTGAATCTATTGAAATTAGTGATGATGAAGGATTATTATTAGTACGTGCAAAAAATGAGAAAACTGAAGAATCACGCTTATACGTATTTTCAGCTGAAAATGGAATAAACCTGGTGTCCAGTAAGTTTTATATAAATTTTTTTTATATCAAATAAAATTATTTTTATTTATATCAATTAAAATTATTTTTATTTATATTAATTAATTATTTTTATTTTTAGTTAATACAAGGGTAATGGGTGGATTTCACTTGATCGCTTCTAGAAAAGGAGAAAGATTATTATATATTTCAGGCGCGCAATGTAATTTAATAGATCCTTATAACATCGATGATTATAGCATTAATGATCATAACACCAATGGTCTAATAGACGCGAGTAAACTTTTTGAAAGGATTGAAGTGAAGCAAAATCAAAAACCACACATACTGTAATTCGATTAGATAAAATAATTTAGGGGAATTTACATATAAGGGCCCGAAAAATGAAAATAATTACAAATAAGGGCCCAAAGTGTAAATAATTACATATAAGGGCCAAAATTTTGAAAAAAATTATATATAAATGTAAATTCATTTTGATATTTAAATGGATTACTTTTTAAATTAGTATTGCATTTATTCTTTTAGCGCTTTTCATGTAAAATTATGACCACTTTTGTCGATTTTTAACTTTCTCTACGAATAAAAAACGAGCTCCTTCAGTTCTAAATATCTTCGATTAATGCATAGCAACCTTACAAAATATTGATTTACTAGTTTGGTATAACGATAGGGTAAACATATCATATTTAACCTAGTTTAATTGTTTGTTAGTTAAAGAAAGTCCGTTAAGCGAAAGTGAAGTGTAAAATGTATAAATTAATACATATATACAGTTATAAGTTCGAAGAGCCACTATCATCATAATGCAAAGTCTTTAATTGTAAAATTTTTAAAATTTTGGGCCCTTATATGTAATTATTTTCCCTTCGGGCCCTTATTTGTAATTATTTTCATTTTTTGGGCCCTTATATGTAAATTCCCCTAATATTTTACTCATAATGACTTTATCCTTCAAGTTCAGTTTTTTATTATCTTTTTGATAGATTAGAAAATTATAAAGAAGTAGTTTACACAACTGAACCATTATTTAATTCTGCCCTTTTTGTCTAATGATTTGCATTAATTTTAACAATTGAGCTATGTTTTTTTCTGTGTAAATTAAAAATGGCATACGTTAATTAATAATTTAAAAATTGGCAAAGTTTAAATGAAGCTTTTTTCTTTTTTCCGAAGATTTTAGGTGCATCTTTATTGTCAATAATATCATCACTTATATGGCTTCGACATAATTTCATGCAACGGTAGAGTGCGGCCTAAACTAATTAAATCAAACATTAGTTAGGGTAATATATGAAGATCACTAATTTCGGATTTATTGATGGTAATCAATTTGTTAGCATTTATGTGTACATACGTATGTACCTATATAATTACATTTTATTAGCACAAGTATCTAACGAAAGTGTATATAATTTTTTTTTAACTTGAAGCTTTTAACTAGCTCTACAAGGTAATAGAGCTATTTTTTTCAATAATTTATTAAAAACATTCAATTATTACATAAATATTAATTATTAATTATCTAATTAATTTTTTACAGAATTTTTAAAAATTTTATTTAAGAAATAGCTCTATTACCATGTAGAACTAATTGAGAGCTTCAATTTAAAAAAAAAATTATATATACTTTTGTCAGATACTTGTGCTAAAAAATGTAAATTTAATTTAATATTTAAATATATGGCCTATAAAAAATCCGAAATTAATGATTACCCTAACGCTAACTAATGTTTGATTTAATTAGTTTGGGCCGCACCATAATGCAACGGCACTCGCTACCTTTTCTACTTTATTATTGGAATCAGAATTTTTTTTTTATCTTTTTTGCGTGATTAAATTTCTTCTCTATAACACTGGATTAGCTCAAAAAAAATATTCATTTATAATTATGCTAGGATTTATTAAATTTGCTTTTGCACATTCATTTCACCTTTTATTGGTCTGTCCCACTAATCCGAACGACTCGTTGAATTTGGCTACACCTTATAACACAGTGGATCCCAAAATTACAATTGAAAATCTTCTCTTATTGAATCTCATGCCACGACTACAAATACGTATGTTTACGGCAATGGACTCAGCCATTGCAACTGACTATCTTATGATGACTGGCAAAAATATAAATTATTTTTAATCAGTATTTTTGTATACACATAAGAATTCCGACTTCTAAAATGTACATTTTAATAGGAGACTCACGCCAATTTCTATGGAATATAGAATATAATCACGCTTTGCTTATTTTAATTTAATCATCAAGTTGCTACCTAATAGAATACAGTAGGTATAATAATATAAGTGTGACATTTTTAATTCTAAAGCTGAGATATGACATTTCTAAACTATATTTATTATGTATCACATTTTTAATAATAATTATAAAATTATCTAGATTTTAGAAGAAATAGAGTTGTTGGGCTGGAGCGGAGGGAAACGGAGTGTAAGTCCTTTCTATGCTCTACTAATTTGGGTCGATGTCCGGCTCCCACC